AACATTCAGCTTTCATATGCATCTTTTGTATCCATCCTATCTTTTATTGTTTTCGAGAAAATGAATGAAATGTAAATACAATGCTTTTTTTAACGTTTTTTCAAATTTAAACACCAATTACTGCCAAATACACGAAACCACAGTAATATATTAATACTCGCTATAATCCCCAAACATTCACCTTTCATATGCTTCTTTTGGATCCATTCTATCTTTTATGGTTTTCGAGAAAATCAATGAAATGTGAAAACACTGCTTTTTTTAACGTTTTTTCAATTTTAAACGCCGATGTGACAATGTGACAAACTCAAGAAAATTGTCTTTTCATGTAATATTTTGAACATTAGACTTCTTCATTAGACAGTATAAACAAAATAATTATTATTTACCAGACTGTAAATAATTACAAAATTTCTATAATCTAATATCTATAGACGTCAATCGCGAAACAAAACACAGCCACAGCAGCAGCAGCACACAACAACGCCATAAAATTATCAACAAACAAAAGATAACAATAAATTAAAGTCCTTAGCAACGTTGCATAACCAATTAACAAAATTTTGTATTGGCTTAAAAAAGGAACTTTATGATTGATTTATGCTTGAATACGCAAATTACAGTAAAAACTGTAAGAGAATTTAATGATTGCAATTTAATTGTCGTCGGTCTGCGCGATTATCTTGCAATGAGCTGTCAAATCATGAACTAATGAAAAGTTAAACAACAAATTACACACGTGAACCGTAATTGATATCCAGCAGATACGTAATTGCCTTTTCGCCAATCCCGCTTCGCCGTTAGTTTGTATTACTTTCCACTTTGTTGGATAATTCGCAAATAACAACAACAAAAAAAAAACTAAAAATTAAATGCATTCCATCGGAAGATGAAACTGCTGCAGAAGAATAAGAAGAAGAAACAAATGAAGATTGAGTGACCATAGTAACCCGAAAACAACGCGATACTCGTCTGAACGCGTATTAAAATCGAAGGGGCCGAATTTACTTTCACGATAATTAACATTTGAAGAACGTTAGTCGGACGAAAAACAACAAAAAAAAATACTGTACGAAAAAAAAAAGAATCATCCATCACGATGGAAACGAATTAATTCTCTTTCTCTGGAAGCGTCCATATACGCGAATGCACGAATATGTGCGGCGAAACATGCGAATTTCAACAATTAACAAAAAAAAAAAAGTTGAAGAAGTGTAGGAGAAACAAACAAAAAAAAATAAAAACGTGCGAAATGTCAGTGAAAAATGATGGCAGTGAAAAATTTCAGACGAAATGTCAGGAGACGATGAATAAAATTAAACGTTTCGTTTGCAAATAAATTATTGCGATCCGCAGTTTGTTATTAGATAACCACTGTCAACGGCTGAAGAATCGTCTATAGTTCAATTAATTGAATGGTGACGCAATTAAAGTGTCAATTGTTTAATTTGACGTGCGCGATGTGACAGTTGTAAATTAAGTTGGTAACATAATATTTCACATTTTCTATCTAAATTTTGCACATTCAACTTTTATTACCAACTGTCGAAAAATATAATTTCGCCTTAATTTACAAGTTAAATCATATTTCCGACATTGCATTTTTGATCTTCTACATTAATTAACGATATATTTGCTGTTTACTTGTTAATTATATCATAAAAATTAATTACCTTTTAGTTTAATAGATACTTGACGTGGTTAAATTACAAAGAAAAAAAAACCGTAAAATTGAATGGAATTGAAATGAAAAGAAATTAATGTACGAGATGAGACGTAGAGATTGCGAAAGAGAATTCTAACATTTATTAATTATCGCAATATTGAGCGGCGGCATTATTATTAGCCGCGATTTTGTGCATACGAATAGAGCAAATTAGTTTTGCACGTTTTCACGCGCGCTCTTGCAAAAGTCGTCTTCGTCAATTTAAATGATCGCTGATTGATCTTGGTCTTAGTAGAAGACGTCGAGGAAATGATCCATACACGCAAGGAACACTGAAGGAAGAATGAAGGAGGAATGCGCAGCGAGTTAATTAAATTTCTAATTCACATTTGGTAATATGATAAATGCAGACGACGTGGATGGAAATCTGGTGCGAAAAGACGAGTTTTACCTTTACGTTTGATGACGGATTAGTTCTTGACGTTCGGAAAGTTTTTATTTTCCTCGAGCCGGATGAAAGACATTTATGGCTCTGACTGACAATGGATCGTTGTTTCGCAAACTGTTTCGAAGATCGCATTCTTGATCTATTGGTTTTGGCATCTAGATTATGACGAGATTATTAGGTCGACTCGAATTGGAATAATTAAGGATCCGCTTGCTTGCGACCTTTATTTTACGACAAAAGCCGCAAATAGCGTCTAATTGCGAGCAATTATTTTGGTACGATGATGTTGTTGATGATGATGATGATGATGTGTGGTAATAATCCAATAAATCTGCAACAAACGGTGATGACGTTGTGCAAATCAGGGTTGTCGTTCAATTAGAATACCACTCTTCTCTTCGTCTTGGGAAATCGAATCGTGCGAGAGATCTTCTCTTGATCGCTAATGAAAAAATCATAAATAATACGCTTTAATAAATAATTAGTTGGGAGATGAGTCCACGTCTCTTCGTCTCTTCGTAGTTTTAACAACAACAATTGCGCCACGAGCATTACGAGATGTTACACTAAGCGAAGAGAGGAGCTCGAAGAATAATGCGAGCCACCCGCGCGTCGGGAGGGAAAAAGACGGAGAGCATCGAGCGCCGAAGAAGTCCAGAGTGAAAGTCCCATGAAGATGATGCCAACTATAATATCCATCCATCTCTTTCGCTCGCCTCCAATCATTATTCCTCCTCCCGTTTGTTGTTGACGTTTTTGTTGTTACTCTTTTTTCTTCTTCCACTTATTTCTTTTTTTTTGTCGTCGTCCTCTTCCATGCTCCATTCGAGCATCTTTCCCACCCACGAAAATGGCCCATTGATCCATCTCCGAAGACTCCCCGCTCTTCAGCATCTGGTGGGAATCTCCACTCTTCTTCTGCTCCCCAAAAAGGGTTGCTTCCATCTCGGTATAAATACCATCATCTTCCACAAACCAAACCAGTGTCTACTCACCTCTTCCACTGTGCTCTACTCCCCCAAGTTTTGTAGTATTCACTTCACTAGGTTAGTGCAAATTCAATTACACCAACGAATAATTAGAGTGATTATTAATAATTTTTGTTACCTAACATTTCCAGCGCCGAATACCAACCAACCAATCGCAATGCGCCAGTTCATTGTCATCGGTAAGCATATCAGTTTTTCGTTGCTAAGTTACAAACATCCCCCACACATTTACAAACAAACGCAATGGATAAATTGCTTTGATTTTTTTAAAATCAAATTACTCTTTATAATTTTCATTACATTTGTTTATAACTTACTTAACAAACTAAAGAAATAACGGAAAATTCTATTCAGGGAAAATATAACTTTGCTTAAATCGCCTAGCAACCAAAAATTATGGCAAATTTCGTTGCTAAGATACAAATATTATATTTTTTCTTAAATTGAATCTGCATTACAATTTCATCAAGTAGTTTTGTTGTAAGCAGCTTACAAAGCCAAAGCCTTAAGCAATGTGTAAGTTTCTTAGCAACAAAAAGCCTTTGTGTCACATACATATTAGATATTGCAATAGGCTATTAATATTAAATTGCTATGCGAAGATCCTCGATCTTGTATGCAATAGATACAGCTTGATATTTTATTGAAATTGCTAAGCAACTAGTTATTATATAAAGAAACAAAAAATCGCGTATTCCAAGTAAACGCATAATTAATTGGTTATTCATCTTTCTTGAATTTACGTTTTCTATTTTGCACATTCGTTCAATCAAAGTTTACTTTTCTTAACGAAGAGAGTATACATTTCATATATTCTGTACTTGGTTTCCTAGCAACCGTAACATAGATTTACTTGTTTAATTATCAAACGTCATTTTTGACAGTTCATTGGGACGAGAGAATAACTGCATGTTATTATTATTTGTTTAGTGAAATATTAATTGAAATATTGCACAGATTTATGTGGGAATTCAATTATGATTGAATATATGCAGACGTTGATTTGTTTAATGAGTTAATTGGCTGAGAAGATGTTGTTTCGTTACTAGGCAACGAGTATATAGAAAGGAACGAAGCCAATTCATTAATTAAACTGATTACTCCAAATATTTGACTATCTTCTCTTTTGTACTCTTCTGTATGCGGTGTGAGTGTGTGCGAATCTTGCATAATTTCCAAGTGCACTTCTCACAGGTCGCTTTGTATTCAAATTACCCAATTAGATTTTGTGTGTGCGCGCTTCGATGGAAATAAATTTTTCGGAAAAAAGAAAATTGAAAAGGAAGAGGAGAGTTTAACTAATAACACTTTGTTCTTTTGTTCTTGTGTTGCAGCTTTACTGGCGATCGGTTCCCGTGTGCTCGTGAGTACATTCCCAACGGATTTTCCAAACAATTTGGTTTTTCACACACGTTTGTTTTTCTCTGTATAGGCACAATCCGGGTACAACTACGACAAACCGGATAAACCGTTCGGTGGAAGCGGTCAGAAGCCGGGTGGATCGTCTTTTGGACCTGGTGGAACGGGTTCGTCGTTCCCTCAACAACCATCATCGCAGTACGGACCGCAGAAACCATCAGGACCATCTTTTGGATCCGGATCTTCGTTCCCGCAAACCCCTTCATCGACTTATGGTCCTCAGAAACCGTCAGGACCCAGTGGACCGTCTTTTGGACCTGGTGGTGCGGGATCTACTTTCCCGCAAACTCCTTCATCGTCTTATGGACCTCAGAAGCCCTCTGGACCTAGTGGACCGTCTTTTGGACCTGGTGGTGCGGGATCGTCGTTCCCGCAAGCTCCTTCGTCCACGTACGGTCCGCAGAAGCCTAGTGGTCCCTCCGGAGGCTCTTCTCAAGGACCATCTTCGCCTGGTTACGGTGGAGCGCAAAAGCCGTCTTTCGGTGGTGTGACTCAACAGCCGCAAGGATTCAAGCCTTCCTTCGGAGGCGGTGCTCAAGGACCTTCCTTTGGAGGCGGTGCTCAAGGACCTTCTTTCGGTGGTGCCCAGAAACCATCCACTAACTACGGTGTGCCTGCAACTGGTGGACAGAAACCCGGTTTCGGATCTTCGCAAGGTCCTTCCACTCAGTACGGCCCAGCTCAAGGTCCTTCATTCGGTGGTGCTCAAGGTCCTTCCGGACAATTCGGAGGAGCTCAAGGTCCATCCGGACCTTTCGGAGGAGCTCAAGGTCCATCTGGACCTTTTGGCGGTGCCCAAGGACCATTCGGTGGAGCTCAAGGACCATTCGGCGGCGGTCAAGGTGGTGATTTCGGTGGACACGATGATGGCTCTTACAACGGCGGCGATTACTCCGCGATTCCCGGTGAACCGGACGTGGATTATCCAATCTTCTCCGAGATTCCAACTACGTCCTTCAGCTGCGACCAACAACAGTATCCAGGTTACTATGCCGACGTCGAGGCCAGATGTCAGGTGTTCCACGTGTGCGCCAACAACAAAACATACGACTTCTTGTGCCCCAACGGCACCATCTTCCATCAAGAGTATTTGGTGTGCGTCTGGTGGAACCAATTCGACTGCAACTCCGCACCTTCCTTGTACGGAATCAACGCGAACATCTACGATTACACCATCATCGGTGCGGTTCAATCGCCCGGTGGAGCGTATCCAGGCTCCGATGGATCAGGACAAGGACCTTATCCTTCAGGACCCTCCGGTAAACCAGGATCTTACCCATCGGGACCTTCCGGTCAACCAGGATCATTCCCATCAGGCGGTTACCCATCCGGACCATCGGATAAACCAGGATCTTTCCCATCCGGACCTTCTGGTAAACCAGGCTCATTCCCATCGGGCGGTTACCCATCAGGACCATCGGATAAACCAGGATCTTACCCATCAGGACCGTCCGGCAAACCAGGATCATTCCCATCCGGTGGTTACCCATCAGGACCTTCTACAAAACCAGGATCATCATTCCCTTCGGGACCTTCCACCAAACCAGGCTTCCCATCGAGCCCACCTACCTTCCCATTAGCTCCAGGAACAACGGGCAGCTTCGGCTCCGGTTATCCATCTCAAAAACCGTCCGGTCCATCTTTCCCATCCTCGAACCAGCAACAACCGGGCGGCTTCCCATCTGGTCCTTCCGGTAACCAACAGCAACCGGGCGGTTATCCTTCGACCAGCGGATTTCCATCAGGACCTTCAACAGGCGGCGGCAGCGGTTTTCCATCGGGACCATCCACAAGCGGCGGTGCCAACGGTTTCCCTTCGGGACCTTCTTCAGGTGGGTATCCTTCGGCGCAGGACTCCAGACCTCAGACAGGTTCGACGACCCAGCAACCCAACAGGGAATACCTTCCGCCTCACAACGGTTGAATCAATAGCCCTAAATTAACGTAATTCCTAAATAAAAGTAAATAAACAAAATGAAGAAAACAATACAAAAAACCACAAACACACAAAAAAAATATTGTATTAAGTGATAACTTTGATATCGTTTTTTTCTCCATAACTTTTAATATATTTTTTTATACTTTATATATGTAAAGAGAAAATTTGGGAGATTATAAATAAATTATATTGCCCACAAAAAAAAAACAATTGTTTTAACCTCATTTTTACAAAATTAACCCTTAAAAACAATATAATTACTTACCTCATTAATCCCAATCATCTTCATTTAAATACTTGCCAAGTTTAAAGTATTTGCCTACTTTCAAGTTAACGATTCCATTCACTTTCCTCCAAACTATTAAATTAATTAAAAATAATCAAAACGATTTTACTAAGATGACATTTGTAGTAGAATTGCCCTTTCAATTGTTTGAACAAACAATTATAAGTGCCGAAAACATAACAAAAAAATTTTTAGTAAATTTGTATTAAATGATAATCTCACATTTTTTCGTATTGAAAATAATCAAAAGAAAATATTATTTCATATTTTCCTCTAATTATGTTACCCAATTTAATCACTTCAGCTGTTATTTTAAACACCAAAGCTGCCAACTTCATATTATTGTTACTAAAATTAAGTTGGTACGTGTGACGTAATTATTGAAGCTGTTGTCAAAGTAAAGTGTTATATTTTATTGATAAACAGGTGAGAAAACAAATTTAAATTATAATTATTCCTTCTGATGGGCAAAAACCTCGGCCTTCTTCACCTCCAAATCGAGCATGACGTTGAACAACCTCTTGATGGCCTTAACATAAGCGGCCGTCCTCAGATCCACGCCTAGTGCATCCTTGAGCACCAGCGTTTCCTGGACAACTTCATGGACCTTCTGCAACAGAACATCTTCGGAGACGCGAGAAGCGCTACCGCCACCTCTCTCCATGTAATCGAAATAAGCCATCAACGCCTTCCCGGATCCGGCAAGTATGCTCGGCACAACAACAATCTCTTTGGAATTCAATATTTTATCTGCTATAGGCGTCACCGGTCCGACGGAAGCCTCCAAAACCGTTTTGGCCGTAACCCTTTCGGCGTTGTTGAAGTTCAATGCGACCTCTTCGTCCGCCAACACCAGAATATCGCACTCTTCACCGAAGATTTTATCCCCGTCGTTCTCTCTGACCTTCGGCCTGAAATTCAGCATCGTACCGTATTTCTTCATGTGCCTCAACAATTCCTAAAATTAACTCATTGAAAAGATTGATGATTTTCTTTGTTTTTTGCAGACTTTGAGCATGATTCCATTTGAATCGTGGAAAGAACAAGGCCTATCCAAAACTCCAATACATTTGGCTCCTAAAGCGTTCAAATCTCTACCAATCTTTGTACCAAGACCATTGATACCATGTAAGATGAAGGTTTTATCATCCAAATGCTGAAGATCTAACGTCTTCAATAAAACGGCTACAGCCGTTTTAGCCCCTGCTTCGTTGAAGTCTTTTCCACTGGAATGCAACTTGGAATCGCTCGTGCTCAAAAGGGAAGTTTGCAGGACATCCATCGCTCCGCCTTAAACACCAAAACGTACGTTAAGTTTCAAAATCAAACGATTTTCAACTTCATAATCATCACGATTCGATCTCAACTTATCCGCGTATTTGCTTAACGCCAATTGCAGATCTTCAGGCTCGTAATGGGCTTTTGATAGCTGCAAACCGCCGAAAGCTCCTGCAACGTCGAGGTCGTAGCAAGCGTTCCTGTACGTGGAAAGAGCAGCCAAACCGCGCATCGTCTCCTCGCTCAAGTTCTCCTTCAGCTTCAACCCGCCCAAAGTAGTGGAATTCCAAGAACATCCGTGGTAAGCTCTAATAGCCTTAACAGATTCCCTTACGCCGATCTTCCGATCCACGGGGAAATGGTACTCGGCGAAGACGTCGCAAGGTTCCAACGAATCGATGAATCCTCTAACGAAACTCTCCGCTTCCTCCTCGTTCCTATTCAAACCGCCCACCAGATCCGCGTAAACCGTGGAGAACGCTTTCGACGCGTAATAGTTCACCATCTCGAAGAGATTGGCGTTCGCGTTGAAAACGGCCTTCTCGTACCTCTCCGGCACATCGTAATACACGCTTCTCCAGAGGCTTCGAACGAGCCGCATCGGAATTCCCACCGATAAATCAAAGTAAAAAATATATTAAAATGTCTCCCTGACAGTTGCCAATTAAATTTCCAATTGTGCAAACGACGAAAAGAAGAAAATTAATCCGTTATCTCAGAGCAATCGGATTCTTTATTAATTCTAGAGTCTGAAATTCCGTGGAAAGTTTGGAATTCGCAATTGCACCAATCGCTGATTAATAATTACGTTTCGAAATGCTCGATAATTATTGATAATCAATCTATTTCTATTATTCCCATGCAGTACAATCAAAGAAAGAAAGCAATATATTTTCTAGTAATATTTTCAGTGAAAATTCATAAGTTGATGCAAAAAAAACAAGATTTAATTTCTCTAGAATTAGTTAAGATTTTGTAACGTTTTAGTACGCTATAATCAAGAATTATTAGAAAAGTTTTATTAAATTGCATTGGAAGAAACGTAAAAAGGTGTAATAAAATCGTGAAAACACATTCTAATGCGAAAAACTGCAATTTTCAAATTTTATTACTAAACTTTCACAGCTTATTGCAGAACAACAATGATTTACACAAATCTCGCAGTGGACTCATTGAAAAGGCTAGAATTGTATCTATAATTTATATATTTGATCATGTAATTAACGTGAATGATCGTTTAGTAATTAGATAAAAAGTGAAGACACTGCATGTTCAAGTCGTAATTATGTTTGCTCGATTTTGACAGCTTATCAGAGGAAAATGGTACAAAGTACAAATCAAGTGGTAGGCTTATAACAAAGACAAAAGTTTAATCTTTTATTTACATATTCGATGATCTAATTAGTTTAAGTGGTCATACAGTTATTAACGAAAACGTAAAGACGTGTAAACGAAACCGTATTTCAATGAATAATTTACTTCATGCTACAATTGTTATATTATTGTAAACGCAATAGATATCTGTTAAATTTTTGTGGAAAATTTTTGTTCAAATCATACAAATTTTCCTACGTTACGTGACCGAAACTATTTTCATCCGATATTTTGGAAACTTTCTGTCGCACGTTTTATTTACTCACGATACACATATAATCTTGTTGACTCGTCGAATTTTTTTTAGTTGTTGCTACATTTTGCATTTCGCACTCTAGATAGCGCGCGGAAAACTTTTCGCGCGGATTTGAAACAAAAAATTTGTTGCATGAAAGTAGCCTGCGAAAAAAAAAACACACACACACAGTTGATCTAATTAAATAAAACAACAACAATCACCCGTTGCCATGGTATCTCGCGTGTTATCACCGTTTCGTGGCCAAATCTGTTTATTGGATTTGAGACACGTGAAACTCTCGTGTCTGACGTCTCTCACCTATATTACCATTCCCGAATATTTCGTTTTTATTTTCGTCGTTTTTTAATCAATTTTTGTTGGTAATTTTATTATAATTTGCAAAACTTATATTTGATTTAGTAGGCGACGTGTTACGTTATGTTGTTGTTTTTTGTTGATAGTTTACGAAACTGCTCTATTCTGACGCTCAACGCCTCGCCTGATGTTGATCATATTATTTTCGAATTTTTGTTTACGCTCGCTGCAATAATCGAAAAGTTCCGTCATTTTCCCGTTCTCCCCCCGTTTTCTCGCACAATCTACATCCGAATTGACGTCAACGAGACACACACACACAGAAAGAGAGAGAGAGATGTTTCGCTCCCAATTCGTAATTGGTGCCTGAAAGTCTATTCAGACACGCCACGGACGTGTGATTAAGATAATGCAGCATCTGATCCTCTCCCAGCCTTGTTTGTTTACTACTAACTAACTAAAAAAGTTACACGTTTTACAAAAAAAAATACATTTCTTCATGAAAAGATGTGATTTTTAGTTGAAGAGAGTCAACAAAAACAAAACAGAAATGTATCTGCAAGCGTTTGTTTTGTTTTGAAAACGCGCGCGCTATCTGCACGCTCGATGCACGAGTTTTCCGAAATTCCATCTGCAAAACCTAATCCGTTTGTTATGTTATGCATTTGGATTTTGCAACAATCAGAAAATCACTGGAATCTCGTTAATTACTCTGTTCGCTCATATCTAAAACTGTAAACTGTTTACTGCTGTTTTATGACTTTCGTAATTTCCATGACAAATTACATTTGAACATTTCGTTTTCGTATGTTTCATTAAAACTACAATTTATTAATAACAAAAAAAGTATGAGCATGTATGAACATCTTCAAAATTTTGTAAGTTTTTGAAAAATTGATGACAACTTATATATGTTAATTAAAGCTAAATCTATAAGGAATGCAGTAATTGTATTGACAAATTGGTGTTGTTTGAGAAAAATTAGTAATGCGCTTACAAACTTGGAGAAAGTAATAAGTTTGTATTTTCATAAAAATGTAACTTAAGTTTTTTGTATTTTTTTGAAAAACTAAGAATAATTGATAAAAACTGATATATGTTAATTAAAGTTAAATCTATAGAAAATGCAGTAAAAGTATTGACAAATTGGTGTTGTTTGAGAAAAAATAGTAATTAGCTTACAAACTTGGAGAAAATAATAAGTTTGTATTTTCATAAAAATGTAACTTAAGTTTTTTGTATTTTCTTCAAAAACTAAGAATAATTGATAGAAACTGATATATGTTAATTAAATCTAAATCTATAGATAATGCAGTAAAAGTATTGGCAAATTGGTGTTGTTTGAGAAAAATTAGTAATTAGCTTACAAACTTGGAGAAAATAATAAGTTTGTATTTTCATAAAAAGTGATTTAAGTTTTTTGTATTTTTTTTCAAAAAACTAAGAATAATTGATAAAAACTGATATATGTTAATTAAAGCTAAATCTATAGATAATGCAGTAAAAGTATTGACATATTGGTGTTGTTTGAGAAAAATTAGTAATTAGCTTACAAACTTGGAGAAAATAATAAGTTTGTATTTTCATAAAAAGTAATTTAAGTTTTTTGTATTTTCTTCAAAAACTAAGAATAATTGATAAAAACTAATATATGTTAATTAAAGCTAAATTTTTAAGGAATGCAGTAATAGTATTGATAAATTGGAGTTCAGAAACTAAGATAAGAGTAGTTTATGGAAATTAATATATCATAATTTAAGCTAAGTCTATAAAGAATAAAGTAATATTGATTTTATTAGTCTTGGGTCAAAGAAATGAGTAAACGAGTTAAACAAATGAACTAAATTTAGAATTGAGTTATCGAATAAAACACATCAAAGCTATCCACGAACATACAACGTGCAAAACAAAACAACAAAAGCGACTCGCTCCAAATTCAATTGTTTCCTCGTGTCATATTTTACGATCGATCAAAAAACTAATTCTAATTTCGATGGAACGTTGCGATCACGTTTCCTGCTGATGCATTAGCATGGATTTGGAGATAAGTGTAGTAAATAGTGCCTTTGTGACACCCCCGCTCGCTCTCCCAAATCCACAGAGATAAGACGGGCCGTGACGAATAGGATTTTATCAAGTCGCGCGCGCGATCGAGTATAAAAGGCGGCAACAGCGAGCGAAGGAATCATTCGAATCGTACCGTGAATCGCATTTACACATCAAGCAACAAGCTGAAACAAAAGAAGAAAGAAACAAAGATGTCATCCACTAAAGCTCTCGTTGGTGCCGCCACCCGTTACATCGCCGGTCGCAACGCCGTGCAGACAGTCTACTGGAGGGAATCGAAGGACTCCAACAAGAAGATGCTGAAGTTGTCGAAGAACTTCAATCTGGGCAGATCCTCGTCTCCACCGAACCACGTCAGAGATCAGTACAACGTGGTGAAGTTCGGCTGAAGTTGACGGACGCAACCTGTGATTTCTATTTATTCTTCGTATTACCATTATTTAATCTTAATCGTTTGCAACTTTGCAGTTCATAGAAAATGCAGAGTTGTGAACGATGTGCTACCACTACTAATCGCTATGTTATTATAGTATTATACTTAATCTTATTTTTTTTTTTATAATCTATATGTTAATCATATGAAATATATCTGATATGTTTATTATTTTCACGTAAACTTACTAGTTTCTTAATCCCTAATTAAACCTTATTTACCACACTTTAACCCATTCTATAAAAAATATAAATATCTAATCGTAATCTTAATATTAATAAAGTAAATAAGTATGGATTTTCAAAAAAACATACCTTCAGATTTTTGAGTTTTATTCAAAAACTAAGAATAGATCAAGGAAGCTAAAATATGTAAATTAAAGCTAAATCTATAAGGAATTAAGTAATATTATTAATTCGTTGTTATTGTTTGAAACGGATGAGCACGAAGCTTAGAAAAATGAACAAAATTTATAATCGAAGATGTCTATGAAAATAAAAAAAATGACTAAGTTAAGTATAGAAATAGAAATTTTCAATCATTCACAATGTAGATGACAAAAATATTAAAAAAAAACATATTATATTATGTTAAACATATGTTAATTAGTTAATTAAAATTAAATTTTAATTATTTAATTAACGTTTTAAATTTGAATTATGAAAGTGACAGTAGTTTGAAATTGTTTTAGAAAAATAACCAACAGATGGCGTTAAATCGAAAAACTAATTTTGGTATTAATACGTTAATAATTAATGTAGACGTTAATACAATATAGCATTTTGTAAGTAATTAATTATTGAATAAAATGCTTAATAATTATTCTGCTAAAAGTGTGTAATTAGTAAAACGGAATTGGAACAGCGCCAAAACGGCTGAACTATAAGCTTCAACGTAATAATCATAGAAGTCTGAAACTATCCCAAAGATGATTTACTTGTAAAAATTACTAATGAGTTTAAGCTTTAATTTGTTTAATTATTAATCTGTGTTGATTATTAATGGTTTAATCTTTATTGTATAGAGTTTAAGCTGTATTTGAGCGAGATTTGAATTTGGTGTGAATTTGGTTGCCTACATTATAATTTCCTGAAAATGTTTTATTTACATTTTTGATGAGAAGATGTGTCATAATAGTGCAATAATTGTATTTTTTTTTCACACAATTAGTAATACAAGGTTTTTATCTGTGATGTAGTTTATAATCGAGTTTATCTTATCAATGTAACGTTTGTGTCCAAATGATGCTGAAATAACAATTGGGACGAAATTGAATGCAAGCAGCTATGGATGATATTCACTTGGAGCTGAATCATGTCGACACAGAGAACTCTGATATGTCCATCGGAGGGGACAGTCGTTTCAGCAGTTACAGGCATCGGACTGTATCACTGCAGAGGAATTCGCTGGCAAATGAGATGATCGGTTTGAGAACAATGGGAAGATATAAATATCATACCAGTGAGTAAACAATGAGTTGAAAGAATGAACATAATTGATTTGGTTTAATTATGTTGTAGATACTTTGAGGAGCATTCGAAGCCCCGAGGATGCTGATACAATAGTGAATCAGATCCAGGAGAATGTCGCCAAGGCTGATGATGAGCAGCAGGCAGATCAACTGAGACGAGAGGCTTTGAGAGATATGCCTCAGAGTTTGACGATTAAGAGACAGGTGAAACAGACTTTGATGTTGAATGAGAAGAGCAGAGGTGATAATCACAGCACCATTGGATGCTACAAGTGGGCTGTGTATTCAATCATTATTTTGTATTCTAAGGTATTTAATAATTGATTTTTTTGTTGATCTTAAAGTTAACGAAATTGTTGTGAAATGTTTTTAGTTGAAAGCAAGTATTTACAATTTCCTGTACACCTTCGAGCTGTGGTATTTAATATTGAAGACGCTGGAAGGACAATTCGGATCAGCGGTAGCCACGTTCTTCAGATTCTTCAGATCTCTATTCTTTCTCAACCTTTTCACGCTTGTGCCTACATTCTTTTTTATAGTATTGCCGCAGATCTTGCAGAGCAATTTCGGAGATGAAGTTGTTGTCGATCAAGAGTCTTTTTCACCTGCTGATATTTTCACTGGAGAAGTATAAAAAACTGATTTTTTTCTTAATATTCAAACTTATTAATTGGATTTTAATTTCGTAGGGTTCTCTAACGAATTCGGTCCTATTTTACGGACACTACACCAACGAAACCATAAAACTTGCAAAGTACGAATACGACATGCCCTACGCTTATTTATTCACCATGTTTGTGAGTTACGTGATTGGATTCATCGTTCTCAGCTACAGGTTTTTTAAAATTATCAAATTATTCGAATTTATAACTTTTGGATTGAATTGCAGCACTGCGAAATCGTTTCGCAAGAACTTCATCGAAACTAAAGGCGGATCGAAAAACGTCTTCGCTCATAAAATCTTCTGCAGCTGGGATTTCGGTATAGCCACCGAAGATGCGGCTACTTTAAAGTCTTCGGTCATCTACCACGAGCTAAGAGTAAGATCAACTAAACTTAACATCCAATTTTATTATATTTCTCTTATTTTAGGAGTTATTGGATCAGTGGAATTCGCCAAGAACGAAAGCTTCGTGCGCTTCGCGCTTCTTCACCGTCTGCACGAACTTCGCCGTCAATTTGCTCATACTCTTCGTGCTGATGGGAATCGCCTTCGGCATGTGGATTCTCCTCGACAAGAATCGTTTGAACGATGATAACGAGCACATCGGTATGATCACGGCTGTCGTTATAAACGTGACGATCCTAGTGTTTCCGCTGTTCTTCACCATTGTTGGATTGTACGATTGTTTTGAGAAGCCAAAGTTCTTTGCGTAATTCGTAAATCTGTTGCAGTTGCGAGGACTACAAGAGTCCCAGAAATTCGTTCTTCGTGAATCTGACCAGAACGATCCTCCTGGAAATCGTCGTGATTGGAATTTTGGTCGCCTATTGGATTACATCCGCCTCCAAAGTGGTGAGTGCTAATTTATGATTTACTACATTTTATTTTTGTCTCAAAGTTGATCCAATACAGAAAATAATTGATAAATACACAATTTCGAATCTTTAAAGAGATTGACGTTCGATTTGTTTGTTTTATAATTATTTTCGTACCAAAAAACAAACATATTTTGTTTTCTATTTCTTTTTTTTTTGTTCTGTTTCTATTTTATTCTTTTTAGGAATGTTGGGAGACTTGTCTAGGGCAAGAAATCTATCGCTTAGTTATATTCGAGTTTATCTTTTCGATAGTTTTCCTACCGATGACCGAAATCGTGCGATTTCTTTTAAATAAGTGAGTTCCAAACAAAAACGAAACAAAAACAAAAATCTCATAAACTTATCATTTTCAATTGTTTCAATTAGTTACCATAAGCAGTCTGATCTGTTGTGCAATTTACTGACTTGGGAATGATTAATGAAAAAATAATAATAAATAAATTTCTCATATTGATTATTTGCGAATGTTTTAGGAATTTTCCGAGCACCTTCGATCCACCCGAATTCAACATAAATCGGTACACGCTTCAGATCTTGTACAATCAGACGTTATTCTGGATCGGACTGTATTTCTCGCCACTGCTCTCCGCGATCGTCGTCCTGAAACTCTTCGTCTCCTGGTATCTGACCACGTTCACCGTTCTGCACTGCTGCAAACCATCATCGAAGACGTGGAGGGCCGCGCAAACGGAGACGCTCTTCCTCATCATGGCCTTCCTCAATCTGATCATGGTGATGACCTGTTTGGGATACGTGGTTGCTAGGTAACTTAGTTGTTTAACTTTATCATCTATTCAATATTGTTTCGTTTTAGCGTTGAGACGTCAGGTTGCGGTCCGTTTAGAAGCTTCGAGTACGTGTACAATTTGGTGAAGGAGGGAATCTTGGGTTTGGAGCAGGGTCAAACCATCCTGAAGACGATCATCTACGTCACGAAACCTGGAGTCGTCGCGTTGATCATCCTGATGATGTGGTGCGTTGTTAATGACAACCAAACAAATTTTCTTGTTATAGAGAGATGTTGATTTGATTTCAGCATGGGCGTTTATTATTTGGACGCAAAGTCTCGAGCGCAAGACGCGATGGTGAAGCTGCTGAGGAATATGCTTATCAATGAGGCGAAGGACAAGGAGTTTTTGCTCACGCGGATCTCGTTGGCGACGCAAGGAAGTTAGTGAGTTGGCGTGTGCGTTCGAGCATGGTGTGGTTAATGCAAGGTTTTTTTTCTTCTCTGAAACGAAAAGGATACAATCTGCAGGAGAATCCTCTGGAGGGATCGCCGATGAGGCAGAGGAGGATGCGCGAGGATCTCGGGGACAGCGGCACCGAGGTTCTTCTACCTTCGCATCGCGTCAACATTTAGCATCAATTAATTATTTTCTTTTTACTTCTCTCGGACGAAGCGTACTTATTTAGAGTATTTCTAATATTGTGATAACCTTCGCCGACTGCTGTTTCTTCGGACTGTTGCGGCAGTCGCGTTTGCTAGGATCGACTTTTGGACCAAATAAATTATTATCTACGTTTTAAATATGTCTTTCTCTTGCATCCCAAATTCTCACTTTTTGGTCTAATTTTAGGTAATTCAACAATTATCAAAGCACACTTTAACTAAATAATAATAATAAAAAACAACAGCAAAATTTCTATTATATTAAAATATAATTTTATAGGTGAAAAATATAGGTAAAGGACGAAAGTAAATGTGATTGAGGGAGGGAAAAGCCTTAAAAAAGAAGTTCACGATGTTTCAAGATTCTTGATTTTTGAACGCGGAGAGGACGTAGTAAAGTAGCGGAATCTTCTGGGTCTTATTATCATCGAGGACGCCCAGTTTCGTTGCAAGATTCTCCCTTATGACTTTAGCTCCATTATCTCCAGATTCTTAATACAAAAAGAAACAGTAACATACAAACATACATATAAAGTATGTGAGAAATGTTTTTTTTAGTTACCAGCAACTAAGATCTGCTCGGTGTAAATGTATCCGTTCCATCCGAGGTATTCGCGTATCAATTCGTTGATGACTTTCGTCTCTTCGGGTATGCTGCTCGGAACCTTGTGGTTGGTGTTCTTGTTGAGAATCGACATGACGGCGGCCCTCAGTTCGGCCTTGAAGTGTCCCAAAGATCCCACCTGGTTCAAGGACTCTTTCACGGCTGACAGAAAAGGGATGCAACGCGACGTTAATAAATCATTTAAAAACTAGGAGTTCTCGCGGATGAAACTCACCTTCAAGGAGATCCCGTTCGGTCGGTTCGCCTGACATCTTTCTGCTCAACTCACTGACACATCCGGACAAAAACACGCAACGTTTCGATCGTGCACCCTTGTTGCTACAACGCACGGTTACATCTCCATGGAAACGAACAGGTGTTGCTGTAGACCTGCAGTTCATGCATCGGTGAATTGCAGCATTATGTTATAGTTCAATATAGAATGTAGATTGTGTCGAGAATAAACGAAATAATGAAAATATAAGAAAAGTGAAATATTTCCAAAACTCATTTGCCAAAAAATGGATGTTTACAGTTTTTCGTTATTAACTCAGAAACGAATGAATTTTTTTATCATTTTATTGCATAATCACATGCACGCAAGCGTTGCGCAACTTTTTATGTAACAAAAGTTACGTAATGTTCGTTACGTAACAGAACGTCGACGTTTTTTCCGATTTTTTTCAAGTTTTTCGTGAATTTCTCAACAACCCCTAAAGATAATTGCATCATCGCCCCCTCGTATGAAAGCTGAATGTCTCACCTTTCCAACGAATCTACTAGCATCTTCGTACTACCCCCGAGTCACCTGCTACGAGCTTTAGAAATTGGAAAAAAAGTGAATAGAATTTGTCAAGATAAAATTGATATTTTCAGTTTTTCGATAATAACTCTAAATGTAAGA